TTATAATGCAATATCAACACACCAAAGGCATGCGCGTGGGAGCACTAATGGTTTCGGATCCAGCCAACCTGTCTTTGACATGCATATCAGATTTGAAACATGAGGGGGAAAAGGTACGTGCTGTAGAGTAAGAGGTGGTGGAATCATAAACTGTTTCCCAATTGAACTATTCACTGAGGTTAGTATTATCACGAAGTGTGCGCTTGTCCCTCGCTCAACGTCCAATGGTCACGCAGGGGCAGTAAACGAGGTAACGAGATAGGTACTTTGTCAGTGTTAGCATCGAGTGTAGCCAGATGTGACACACAACTTAAGGAAAAACGTCAAGCGCAAGGTTGAGGCGACAAGACACGACGGATGCTTCGTTAACCCGACAGTTACGCACATACCACTGGAGTGTGAGACCGGTTTAGTTAACCAATGCCGCAGACACCCACATAAGTGATGACTTGGCTGCGAGAACTAACGAAAATTAACGTGAAAATGTGAACCCAGCACATGTGTCTGGAACATCTGCGATGTCAAATTCAACTGAGATCTACAATCTGTTGTAAGGATAAATGAGGATGATGGCGCACATGTCAAGTACAGTGAGCTCCTTTATTAAACGATGGATAGTCTCTGACAGTTCCGACTGCTAGTTGATTCTTCTCTAGGTGTCCATACAGGATGCTGATCGTCAGATCTCGGTTTGCCAAAAACCAGGCGTCATCAGCGAAAAAGCGGACATTTGGAGAAGAGAGATTCAGTTAGTGGGAAGTAACCAGACATTTGAAGTACTGACGAGACTTAGGTTGGGTTGTATGTCGTCTGAATACACATGCGTTGGTACTAGAACGAAATAAGCCTATTCCACCTAATGTGCTGCGCACATTATCTGATTTGATCATTCACGACTAGTACTCGCGCGTAAATTTTATGATTGCGGACATGTTTGCAATACAATGCAACAATCTTGATTGTTAAACAGCTGGGGTCAAGGACTAGAAGGCGTATAAGGTCCTTATACTGAAGAAATTAAGCGCCATCATTGTAGAGTAAGTAGATTCTCACAGGGTCCCTGTAAAAACATGGTCGCTAAGTGCAAATGGGTGCAATGGTGCCGCAGGTTCATGGAGTTTTAGCTCTCGAAACACCTGAAGTAACTTCAGAATCCAAAAACACACATATGTTAAAACAGCAATGGGAAAGGTGACTTAATTATCTATCTCCAGCTCCTGGTACCTCAGCATCACATGAGACCCGGGAATCCGTGGCACGGAGCAGTTAGCACATGAAAATACCCAACGCTGCTGCTTCCTCCATGTCCTGATGTCCATTCGTACCTTCCGTTTCATCTCGCTTCTGATATCGTAACTGGTCGCAATATGCTTGCTGCTGGTAGTGACTGTCCTGAAATTCTGCACATTTACCACCCTACGAATATCCGTTGCCCGGTGCAAGGAAATTGACAGGCAGGCGCTCCCTGACAAAATCATGTTTTTCCGGACTAGTAATGCACCTATGAGACTTGTAATGTGATTGCGATGAACCAAATAAAAGCATGGATTGTTCTGTGTTGTGTTCGGTTTTCCTTTCACGATAAGTACACATACCACAGTTTTTAATGATTTTTGAACATCCGGCGAGAGGGACTGTGGTGCGCTTAGGCTTATGGTGGTTAGATCCTGACAGATCGTTGGCTCCCTGATCCCAAAGTTGTGCAGTGGGCTCATGTCTAGGACGCCTCCTCGTGGCGACTGCTGGGAAGTTGGGTTAGACCCTTCTTCTAGTTAAGAGTTAAGACATAATTCCGCGTGAGTCGGTTCACTGACTCATGACGCACGGCCCACTGCCTTTGGCTGAGGATCAAAGTCGTTCTCCTGTCAGGTGTAAACGCCCTGGCGGTATCCTAGTCTGCGCCCAACTATGAATCACGCCAGTTATAATAATAATCCCGCTGTATCGGCCGTCGCGTAGTGGCACTAGAAAGAAGGTCGCCTTGTCTGCTGCATACAACAAGGTTACTAGGCGAAAACATGCTACTGCTGGCGCCTCCCTTCTTCTTTTCCTGCACATACTCCCCCTGTTCCCGTTTAACCTAACTTCCTACAATACAGTTAACTATGCATGCGACTACTCGTCACCTCAATCCTATGCCTCCGCTCAAAGCGCTTAATATCGAGTGCAAAAAGGTGCGCACACTACTCGACCGGAACAAGAATGAGCGTTCCACATGACGCGTTGCATTGGTCGCGATGGTACTCGGGCGCTACGGGATCGACATTGCCGTACACAGCGTGTCACGGCTCCTTGACCAAGGAAAGCTGCATGAGGCTGGTGCGGGTTACACGGGTCCGATCCAAGAAAAGACATGTCTTCCGCATACGCTAAGTCTGTCGATGATCTAGCAAAATTTTTAACCCAGAAGTGGAAAGCAGGAAGGATTCATATACGATCTTTTCGAACATGAAGTGGAAGAGATAGGACTACCCAGATGTACCCCACTTGCCGTAGTAAACATAGAGGGGTTTCACGCAAACAAATACAAGAGAACGAAAGTAGTACAGAGTTTAGAATAGTGAGTGATTTCACAGGTACGCCCTTCAAGGCTAGGCATCGGCACAAACGGGCATGGTCCATCGCATCGAAGGTAGTCTCAAAGTCAAAGAATATTACCACGATAGTCTGTTCGTAAGTATGATGACATTCGAGCACTTGATGAGAAGTAAAAAAAAGCAGATAATCATTTTTGAAGTACATGCTGTGGATGGATTGTGACGCGTAATCACAATGTGAGCTGCGATTCCCATTGAAGTGAAGCTTGGTCATTCGATCTCTAGGACCGCAGCTGAAACAGATGCAGCTTCCACAGATACGGAAACCAGGATGGCCCGCACTGAATTGTCTCTCATGAGGATCAATGGGACAAATGCGACAAACAAATAAGTAAATAAACGGTATATTCCTCAGTGGTGCGAGGCACCGTCCATCTAAGTGGTCTGATCACGGTGAGTGCCAAGGACGTCCTTTCTGAAGATGCAGGTGTCGAACAGACACTCACTAATGAAACAACACCGTCCGTCAGAAACAACAGTGAAAAGTCAATTGAGACAAATGCCTTGTCCTGCTCCAGCAGCGTAAGTTAGTTATCTCGACGTCTCAGCTACGTTGAAGCGACCCAGCTAGCAGCTATGGTATAATGGAATGTGCGAACTGCTTCTCAAAGTACGAATGCATTGAAGGATGATGTCAAACAAAAATACGGAAAGTAACAGTAAAGTAGAAGGTGCATGCAATCATCACTCCGGCAGACGCTCGGGTGCAATTGCAACACACAACCCGAGGGGAGGTGATTCAAAACGATGCAGTCGGAAAAATAGTGGAACTCTAAGTTTGCAAATGCAGAAGAAAAAGAGGGTCTATGGGAAAGCCATCGGCAATCAAGTAGGAGCTTGAAGAAAAATTGACGCGCAGTACAGGTGCTTAAGTATGTAAGAATCTTTTTACAGCAGATTAGTAGACGCTCCGTGAGTGAAAGGTGACTTATGTTAACGTTTTCGGAGTCTGTCATCATTTCCTATCTTCTAGTCCATCAGGGGGTGGGAGTAGTGATATTCTCCGTAAAAAACATGAGAGTAACAGCCCTCGCGTCAGCAACTCATCACTTCACAACAGAATGGTATAGGTTTAGACGACATTGAAAACGTGTTTGGGGGTTCATAAGACCAAAATGAAATCCCTGCATTATGTCAGTGAAGGCCTATTGGAAGCAGACACGGATGTAACACCGCTTGTGCAGACCTAGATGAAATTATGACGTGTGACGAAAATCCCGGTCGGTAAATCAACAGTGTTAATGTTCGCTATCATGTCGAGTTGGTCCTAGTTTGTAACGGTGCACAGAAATGAGAAACGGCTACAGCAAATTATGATTTCTAGTCAGCTGGCGATCCGTATCCATATAGATCACAAGCCTGCTTTGTAATTCGACGGCGCGGGTTCCAGCTTGCGCAGGGACCGGGGGACTCTCGCAGCATCCTCTGCCAGCGTCCGACTAGTGGTGTTTGCGCGGCAACGGAGCGTCGGTACTGCGCACCGGCATACTTCTGATGCCATCTGGTCAGCTATTCATCAGAGCCCGAGTAAAGCAGCAAGGTTGGGAGAAATTTCCTAGACCTCAGAACTCGCCGGCGAGCATGAAGGTCGTAGAAACCGGTGGCCATCGAGGTTGTTCATTCGCCTTCCTCTTGATACTCACTTCTGGTCGCAGAAGTGAGTAGTCAATAACGCTGTGGCCGTTGAGTTGCACAGTTCCCTCGCAGTTGATTCGGTGGCGTGGGTAGGTGATTTGCGTGCCAGCTTAGTGGTTTCCTCCCCGTACGCTCTCTGCACGCGCAGAATTCGGCTGGAACCGAAAGCAAAGTGGTCAACGAATGACGAGCTGGAAGTATGAAGGTGCCAACCACAAAGTTGGCAATGGCTGGGTAATCTCGGTTCTAAAGATGAGGAAATATGATCACGAGCACAAGTGACTGGAAATGCTCTCGGACATGGCAAAATCTCGCATTCATAGGCGATGTTGTGAGACACTGCTCCGTTTATTACAGCTTTACAGCCTTCCATTCGCATTTCCCCTATCCACATGCTGGGATCCTTACAAAATTGAGCTGCAGTAAGAGTTAACAGTAGTAAAGTGCAATCACACATAGAAAAGAAACGAACCTATACAAGTTCAAGATGCGCGAATAATTGTAAAAGAAACCAAATATAGGAAACTGTCTCCAAGCATCCAGTAAGTCTGGACATACAGGTGGTTCAGGGAGAAAAAGTTACCCGATGTCAATGAGTGTAAAAGTTGCAAAGATTAAGCAGCGTGGCAGAAGACTATAAACAAAGAAAGCTGTAGAAAAAATGATTGGTTACTCGGATGGCATTTACAAAGGTACAAGCTAAGAATGAAAAATGGGGAAATTAGAGGTAAGCACAATCCTGGTGATAAGAGGAGGAATTGAACTCACCGATCTCTAATGAAGCGCCAAACGTTGAACACGCATGAACCCACGAGAGCCAAAGCGGCAAATATGGTTGAAACACCAAAGCACATGCCGAGGGGCAAAATTGCGGCACTAGGAGTGGACATTGATGTTAAATAAATTGAAAAGAAGTGGCTAACAGGGCATAAAATATGGTTCGTTGGAGTGGAGATCGATTTTCGCTGAACGCAGCAATCCTTTGCAGTTGGGGTACCATGGTGCAACAAAACGGCACCTCTAGGGTCACAACGCATATACCGATTAGTCTAAATAGAAGAAAACGGGAAACAGATGACTAGACATGGTGCAAAGTGAGGGAAGACAAGTAGAGAGGATATTTTCGAAGCATGATACTCAAGTTAGTCACAAAGACGCAAAACCTCCTGTGTGACAAGATAATGTGCAAAGGTGTGAGCATGGAAAGGCGCACACATGGTTTCTTTTTATCAGAAATGGATGGGTGTGTACATAATAGATAGAGGAGCGCCAGTTATTCACTTCGCGTTAGCTATTTCAGTAAGACAAGAACGGAAAGACTGAGCAGGTGCAAAAATGGTCTACACAATCAGAAGTAGGCATTCTAGTGAAAAACAAACGAGTTTTTTTTGAAGATTTTTAGCCCTTTTACAAACGGCCTTTATCACAAACGATGTCCTGACCATAAGTGAATGGCGCCAAGAACATGCGGAAGTATTGGCGGAAAATAGATATGAGCCAAACGAGATACGTACCTCTGTTTATGTAGTTCTGTGCAGAGTACTCTTATCGGTAAACGCTTTTTCTAAACTCTTGAAAACTGTGTAGCGGGAACAAAAAAATTTTCCGTGCTGTACGATATCACTGTGAAATTTTTATCACACACACACACACACACACACACACAGGTAGTTTCATACCGACCATCATATTTTCACTTCGTTTTATTCGGCTACAATTGTCATCATGTTGAGTGCGATATTTTGAAATTGTTGTGTGTTTCTGACCTCACAAGCTGTGCCTTTTTTAACGGCCAAGCTAAAAGGAATGAACTGAAACGAATTTAGGAGAAGAGAAATACCTGTGCTAGTAAACAAAACGCTGGGTTGAAGGCCGCTCTTGGGAAGAAAAAATTAAGTAGCATGAGCATATGCATCTTACTTATCTCGAACATCCATTCGCTTTTAGGGATAATGGATGAAGTAACAAGTACCATCAAGTCCGGAGAACATTCGCAGCTACGCAACATTTCGCCACAAGAGACCTGGCTTCACGATGAGCTGGACGACGCAGTTGTATAGGTAGAAGGGTTCAAATGTCATCGGGTCGACCGCCGTTACACCTGTCGTAATCGTGGCGGTGCTGTCATCATTTACACTAACAGTTTCTGGTGTGCGCACATATGAAAGTTTTGTTTTGAGTTTCTTCTCAACGGAGTAGTTACTTAGTTCTAAAGTACAAGCCAAAATGTATTAGTAGATATCGCTCAACACTACTGGCTAACATCTATATTTAGACCACTTGTCCGAAAGCTGGTGCAGAGTCAGTTTACGAGGAGTTTATTGTGGCTGTAATCAATGGTCTACTATGTGTTTTTCCTGGTGATTTTAATCGATTTGACACCACTTTCCTCACAAGTTTTGGGCTACAAAACGTTGTAAACTGCGACTATTGATCTATACCATTTTCCATTGAAGTTGGACATTCGGGCAAAACATTTACGCCTGGGGGTCAACGGGGTTGCTCCTCCGGGGCAATCAAGTTGAGTCTTCGCTATGCGGAATAGAACCACTCACTGGCATGGTAGGGGCTGTTTCATTGGCCAAGCGCCTGAGGTCCTATTTGCTGAAGGCGCTTGGCCAATGAAACAGCCCCTACCATGCCAATGAGTGGTTCTATTCCGCACAGCGAAGACTCAACTTGATTGCCCCGGAGGAGCAACCCCGTTGACCCCCAGGCGTAAATGTTTTGCCCGAATGTCCAACTTCAATGGAAAATGGTATAGTGTTTGTCAACAAGGTGTGTAATAGGGCAGAGCTGAACACTCGACACTTAAGCTGCGTCAAGGGATCCACTCTAAGATTAACAATAAGGTGGCTACTCGTTCCAACGACCGCAAATTCAGATGGAAGCAGTGATCTACACAGACTGACTTCGAGAAATGGCATCATTCATCGACTTCAGTTTATTTTTTGGCACTGATGTATCCACTGATGTATTGCTATCAGTTGACAGGTTGCTTTAACTTTTGTTTTGACGTTTGCTGTCCATTCGTGCGGACAGGGTCACTCCCCCCGACTTGAAGCGGCTACGTAGACAAAAGAAAAAGCTTCCAATGAAGAAGACAACACCTTAGTAAAGTCCCCATCTGTTTTATAAAGGGGGTTGTGCCATCTCAACAACATATATATTCAAGCTATACTTGAGAATAGTAGCTGCCGTGAACTCTGGAGGATGTTAAAGTATCTAAGCGGGCTTACTCGATGTACATCAAATTCAGACGTAGATGTGGAGAAACGAACCATGACTTCAGCAACTGCTACAACAATTATCTTTGTCCAGCTTAAATTGTCTGCACTCACTGCCAGCTCTCGACAGCGGCACTGCACACAAGCTACTAAAACAGCTGCACTCAAGGAAAGCAAGTGGTCCAAATCGACTGCCTCTCGTTGTCCTCAAGGAACACGATTAATTCCTGGCCAAACACTTGGCTACTTTAGATGCATTATGCATTCAACAAAATAAAATTGCTGGCTTCTGGAGAGGCATTAATACCACACTAATACCAGAAAGGTACTCAAGTAAATATCAACCAAATGCTTGTACTTCGGTAGCCTTAAAAGTGTTCGAAAAATCATTCTCGAAAAGATGCTGGCACAACAGCAGTCAGCCGAAGACGCAGTAGCCTCTCTTGTACACTCTGTTCTGTCATCACTGGGCAATCGAATCAAGTGCATCAGTATGTTTTCTGGACTACAGCAACACGTTCGGCTGAGTAAAATGCAAATTTGCCGTTGGATGATCTACTCGGTGCTAGAATAAAACCTTCCATTGTTTTGGGTCGAGGAATTACCTTGCCGGTCGTACTCAGGTTACCCGATTTAGAGGCAGACCTTCGCCATAATCACAAACACCGGTGTTCTCCAGGGGGTTATACTGTCCCCATGAGAGGCAACTCTGCTGAAGTACGTTGATGACATTGTCCTGGACGTCAATCAATCGAACATCACCTCTTCAGTCAGAATGCGAGAGATACTTAACGATCGCATGTTTCGACAAAGACCCGTGAGCTGCCACTTAATGTGTCAAAAGATAATGCCGCCGTTTTTGCACTGCACAGAAAAGGTCAATATTAACAGCTTCTCCAAAAACGCCCGGACCACAACAACGATGAGGAGGTTGCACTCTTCCACATCGGTAGAGTATTTGGGTATCATGATTGGCAACGATTTATCTAGGCCACACCATATGAAAGAAACATACACAAAAGTCCGAAGGCTATCGTTCTACGCCTCACGCCTGCGAATTCCGTATGTCCCTCATGATCTCATACTTCGCTTAATCACTGCTTGTGTTCCTCCACACTGTACGTACTGCTCACCGGTGATTTTTCCTGGTCTATTGGGCAAGGAATCCGGATTAATCTCCAAGTAGTTAAAACAGTAGTCACCATTCAGCGGTGCATCAAAGCTGACATTGGTTGATTTTCTATCACATACTCACGTTGGTTCCTGCAGGAAACTAGCACCAACAATACTTGATAACGCAAGTCAAGCCCTTCATTGTGTATTTTGGGAATGTGTGTCAACGTCATTAAACGGAGAGGACTATAGATCTATACATGCCCGTACACGTGCGAATCATTGGACAGTTATCTTTTACATAGCGCGATTTTTGCTAGACCAAAACTAGGTTGTTCAGGAACTAACAAACCGCGTTATGCCCTACGATATTATTTGCTTCAAGTATTGGTCTACTTTCAGGAATTGCTGTATCGCTGAAAGCGTGTGTGTGACGGCTGAATATTCTCCAGTTTTGTGTGCAGGAAGAACTTCATTGACTTTACTTGAGAGAGTTACGGAGGTTAGCGTCCAGGCCGAGAGTAGTGCCGCAACAGTGGATCGATACACAATTAGAGATCGAACGCGAATATTGATCAAAATGCGAATCTATGAGGAAGCAACGGCAAATCGGACCATGAACTTGAACCGTTTGAGTTGTGTTATTAATATTAATTAGCATCTCCAATTCGGTTGTTAGTGGTTTCTTACAACCTATGTATTGCACCATGCTCTCATACAACAGAATCAGAATCCGGATACCTCGTACCGGATGGTCTTGGTGTTCTCAATTCGTAGCGGGTTGAATTGGTTGGAGACGACACAGCAGAATCAGACAGGTTATTCGTACTGTCAGCGGAAACCACAACACATTGCTGACAACGGCCAGCAGCACGGCAGCAGTAGGTTAGCCGTACAAACAGCGGCGCCACAACAGAGAGTGATGGGAAGACAGGGAAGCTTCACCTACGTCAGATCACACGGGGATACCATAACAGAGAGCCGAGACAAGAAACGCATAAATTCGAAGATTGCACGTACAGGGTGACCCACGAAATGTCATACTATTTGTTTTGTTCATTACACATGTAATATTACAGATGTAGTGTTGAAAACGCGTATTCTTTGGTTTATGGAAAATCCGGTAAATGTCACGAGACATTAGGATGGAATATAGTCTTGGCGCCAAACACAATTCCTAAAACCGCGCATAAGAGCAGATTGATTGTTGAACAGAAGAGGAAAGTTGTTATGCTTCTTTTTACAGAAAGGGGGAATTTTTTAGCGACACAAACACGTTTTGGTGCACACTTTAGTACAAAATGGGCTCCATGTAAACAGATTGTTCAGAGAGTGTATCGTCAATTTGAAACAACCAGCGCTGTGGTGGAGAAGAATCGACGGCGTAAACCAAGTGTCCGCATCACTGAAAACAAGGAAGCAGTTAGCTTTGTTTTGACGCGAGGTCCTGGCAAATCAACAAGGAGGATAGCTGCTGAGTTAGGAATATCTCGTCGGTCCATACAAAGGATTCTGCATTCTGATCTTCAAATGTTCCCTTTGTCCCTTAAGTAACAGCAAAGGACAAGTAACGAAGACATCGGTTCGCTTCATGATTAGTGTAAGAGGATCACGTTCTGTACAACACGTGGTTTACTGACGAGGCGTATTTTCATTTAAGTTGGCGTAGTTAATAAGCAAAATGTTCGTTTCCGAGCAAGTGAATATCC